AAATGTAATTATTAATTATTGTATATATAACAATTAAATAAACTTATGTGTTTTGTTCTTTACTGCATCTTGTATAATGCTTCATTTTTTAGGTAGAAATATAGTTTACAGAATTATATTTGTAATAAAATATATGTTTCCAGCGCATTAAATAAATATGACTGCGTGTACCACCGGCGGTACACGTGGCACGGAACGTGTTAACTCCGGTATTAAAATTTTCCTCGACATTTCCTAGTCCAGAAATCGAGCTGCTGTCAATTTCCAAAAAGTGGAATCAGTGGCACGAGGAAAGGGCAGAAAATGTGCTGGTTGATCAGGAATTTCTTCGAAACGAGTCTCCAACGTGTCGACAGGGAAATCATTTCCATCGCGATCGTTTGATCCTCGATCCACCGGTTCGCAGTTTGTTTTAAACGAAACCCCGCTCGGTCTCGCATAACCAAAGCCGAAAGTAGAAGGGACAATCTGGATTTACATTGGAAAACAACGGGACGAGGAGTTTGCAATGCAGAGATCGCAATCTGCATCCGGGAGAGACCGCGTAATAATCGTACCGCTTCCATTCTGACTTTAGTTAATTAATCCCGAGAGCGTCGAATTAATTTACGCCTATGTTCTAAGAACCGAGCCGGGACTGGCCGCTTGCTCAGCTCTCGTCAAGATTAAAATTCGTCCCTTTGACAAGTCCCCCTCGACGGTTCCAAGTGCTTCTCTGGATGATAAATGGTCCTCCGTCAAAGCGATTGGTATTTCATTCGAATTTACTAATTAGGAAGAATTCAGAGCCATGCGCTTTGAACAAGAGCAAGATTGATAAAGATTTCAGACTGGACTAGTCCAGACTTGACATACTTCGTTTGAAATCGTTTTTCCATGGCAATTTGCTTTCTGAAAACAATTAATTTACATATTTTATGCATTTTTAAGAAAATTACACGAAACATCAACTGTTTTTTGTTCAATCAATTTTATAAGTTTTGTATTTGGTCAGAGATAAACGTAAGCATTTATCGATTTTGGCATCGGTTTCAAAGCGGCGAGGGGGTGGTAGTGTAACAGTTTCTTACCTTCACGTTACCGTATTTCCATGTGAAGAGCGCGACAGCGGGCAGGCAGGCGATGACGCAGCACTCGAGGATGAGGATAGCAGTCCTCATCAGCCAATTCAAGGACACCACGCACGGGGAATCGTCCTCGCAGGACTCGCAACCCTCAGCGCAAGGAAGACACTCGAACACCCCTTGAACGTCGTACTGGCTGTCCTCTCCCTATCGACAACGACGCAAACGAGATTATGTTAAACAGTCTGCAAACTTCCCGGTTTTATACAAGGGACAATATTACTTAGCCTATTTCTGGTTCTAATTTATTGCCTGCCAGAAAACAGGGGAAATATACACGTCGAATTTGTAGAAAATTAAATTTGTAAAAGATAAGCAATGAAATATTCTTGAACGAGTGAATGGAAATTTTAAAGAGAAACGAAATTGATATGAAGTCTAAATTGCTATAGCGAAGTTGATTTCGTAAGGAATTGAATACAATAGCCAGCGAATTATGGCGAGGTCAAAATGCATAAACCTAATGTCTCGTTTATTGCCTTTAAACGACTGTTGTCGGTACTTCTGACCCGATCGGCTGCTCGTAACTCAGCCGGGCCACCGGACGGTTCATTAACGTCGACACATTCGGGCGTGAGACGAAACGAATGCATGGGAACTCGCGGCGAAACAAATTTCACCATAAGCGATGTACGACTTCCGCGTAAATCCCGGCGACTACAAATCACTCGCTCGTAAATCGCGTTCACGATCGGGACTTAAGTTCCCGCCGAATTTATCGTAGTCACAAATCACCGGCGCCGCGTTATGGTTCTGGATATATCAGGGCAACTACGCCCAGTTGCCATTCCCATGTATCGCGTATTAACTAGCGTATTATATCGCCGAGGAAACGATCAACTTCCCTCTGTCCACAAGTAATCATTTCTAATAATACTAAACGCTAATTAAATTCGCTCGATTTCGTCGCCACTTCATTTCTGTCAATTTCATTGTTATTCTAATTTGAATCACCAGCCTTCGTTTTGAAAAAAAAATTTTTTATTTTTCCGAGATTTTTCCAAGGGGTACCCCTTAAGATTTCGTGAAATTTTCGTTTTTTGCCAATAACTCCCAAACTGTTGGACATACGAGAAAATTGCATCAGACCTTTTTTGTAGAGGATGACGAGATCTACAATTT